TAAAATCCGCTAAAATGATATACTACGTTAAATATTTTGTTCAAGGAAGGATGAGTCCATTGCGGAATTCAGTAAGCTGCACAATTCTAAATTGCGAATTATACACCTGATAAATATTACTGATATGCCATCTCGGCGATCGAAATAGACATATCAAATATTAAAAAGTTGATAAGTGCATAGTCGACTGGGTAGCGGCCGAGAAATACTCCGAAGCGTTGATGGGAGGATTACTTTACGACTGATTTTAAGAATTTGGCGTTTGACTATTAGACTTCAACATACTATTAACAACCGATATATATCATATTGTCTATTCTATGACAGTTCCCGCTGATTACGTATGGATTACGCATATACCCTATCAGTGGTGGATCTAGATATAATCTTTGGGGAAGGAAAAAAAAAATCACATGAGATTTTATATTTGATTAAAGTTTCTAATATTTTATAATTGGGACAAATGAAGCCAGCAATCCTACTATTTCATCTGAAATTCGATCGACACCCAACGATATCTGTCAGGAAAAAAATTAATTTCCCTCTAAACTGGAACACGAAATAATATAGATCGATATTATTACATTATAGATCGAAGTAACATAACATCCAGACTATTTCCTCAATTGGCTTTGCAGTTCTTGAAAACTTCGTTGACAGTAGGATTCCAGTATTCGTAATAAGTAAACAACATTAATAGGCCAAATGAAGAATCGTCCACCAAATGTTGATTTCTGGATCCGTTACTGGTATAAATCAGATAAATCAACATTATTTAACTAGGTATATATAATTGAAAAGTTTCTCTTCTATAGCTATCCTTTATTATTTTTCTTTCATTCGATTTCTCACTAGAACCATTACAACTCTTTAAAAAAAAAAATTAATATGTCAGATCGCTAATATTAGTGTAAAAAGTCGAATGTAACAATTTTCTAAGTTTATTCTATTTGTGCTAAAGGTGGCTATTTGTAGTCTGCGACTGCAATAAGTAGTCTGCTGCTATGGAAAATTGCAGTGGAAAATAAAATATGAAATTATACTAATAAATCATAAAGAAATAATCAGTTTTTATGCTCTTCTGTAAAAAAACTCAAATTTTGCATACGTCCCGTCGCACTAACAGTAACGGTATATTAAATGAAGAAATTATTTCACTGTTTTTAAGGTTGTTGCAGGAATCTTTCGGTTTTCTATTTAAGGAGAATAAGTTTACAAACATAAATTAACTACTTATTTAATTGACTACTTAATTTGAAAAAAAACAAAACAATCTTGAGTAAAAATCTGTAGGATATTACGTATCCTAATATTACATAAGGGGAAAAACTCTTCTTTGGATTTGCTAATAGTCCCTACGAGAAATATTGAGCAAAGAATCATAAATTTTCTAAAATATTATTTTAAAACATGTACAAAACTAGATTATTGTAAAATGGAAACAAAGAAGGGGATATAGAAGACTTAATTCGTTAAATATTTAACAGTTAAATTGAATTTACTTATTATCCGGTGGTACTTTTTAAGTTATTTACCGGTAGGAAGTTCACGGGCGGGGGCACTGAGATAAGAAAAATCCTAGTTGTTAGAGGGAAGATCCCTTAATAATGCACACTTCTCCCCTTCTCAAATCCGAGCCTCCCACTGATTAGTCTTCCTCTTAGGCTACTTCTTAACTTCTTCTTTCCTCTTTCTTCCCTCTTTCATCTCCCTCTCCTTTATATTTTCACGTCTCCTTACATTCCCCTCAGTGCATTGTCATTTTTAGAATATTTCTTAAGACTCAGGCTGTCGTGACCTTTTAAATTACGCGCAAATGCAAAGACCTTATTTATACAACTATACGTTTATATTTAAGTCTTTATTCTTAAAGCAATTTAATTTTTCTAGGCTGTGTCTCTATTCTTAAAATCTCCATTCTTTTTCAATTAAATCTTTGGATTTATATAACCAACATCAATTCAACAAATATATAATTTCTAAAACTTTTTGGTTTATTATTTTCAATAATGAAACATTGTGATCGACCAAAAAATTCAAAAACATAACCCCCTCACAAAATTTGAGGTTTCACGTTTCAAGACGCGTAGAATTCGAAAAACGAATACAAATTTTTTTGTACGCCGTCCGCCGTCCGCGTATTTTCTCCGAATCTACTGGACCGATTTTTTTCAAATTTTGATATAAAATCAGAGGTCACCCGAGAATGATCCTCCTTTTTCGACATTACTCTCCGCCTTTAACTTTCAAAATGGCGGCCGAAAAACCTGCGTTGCTATAGACTGTAGCTCCTAAACGAATGTACAGATTTCAATGAAACTTCGCTAAAGCCATTTTCTCGACGCCCTTTAAATTTATCTATATAACATACTTCAACGAAAAGAAGCTGGAAAAAAAGTTACGAGGGATTGTAATATTAAATTCCGAATAACACGAAAAGTTTTTACTTTTTTGTGGATATTGTGATGAGATGTTTCAAAAGTATTTAAATTTCCTAAAAAATGAAGGAAGTTTCATCGAAATCAAAGCACTATTAGTAGAGATATCGCGGTTTTTACATATTTTGATTTATTATTTTCAATAATGAAACATTGCTTTTGTTGATATTGTGTATGGTTTTTTAAGAGTTTACGAAATTTCCTAAAAAACAAAAAAAAATCGTTAAAATCGGACAATTAGGAGTAAAGATATGGTCTCCTGTTTTTTGTATGTGTTCTATTCCAAATGTTATATCCTTGGTTTGGTTTTTAAATTTTAAATGTGTTACTGAACTAATGCTATTTTTTTTTAGCATATTACTAATGATTTAAGAAAAACAGTTTAGTCCAATAATTACTATGTTACTTACTTTACATGTATAATTGTTTGAAAATAATAAACCATTGTATAATAATTTGCAGTGTTTTTTAATTAGGTTCAGTTTATTAATCACTCCATCATTTTACTAACTATTACTTGGTTAGTTAATTTAAATCCGTTCTTATGACTAGTTTATGTTTGAAACAATTATTTAAAGCACTGCATGCCGTAAGATTATTTACATTGCTCCTTGTGACAACGATTATAGAATAATTGATCTAAATCACATAAACAATACATAGTATAGTATACCATCATTTGATGGAGCAAAACTAAAACGTAGAAGATACCTATCATAATTATGTAATGATATAGCCTAGAATAAGAGTAGCGAATGGAATGTGTACCGGGCGTGTGCCCGATATACCCAGCTTCGCTTTGAGATATCCCGCTTGGGTCTTGGTTGTAGATGTGTACGGATGTTGCAGCTAGCCTCCCCAAGTGCGGGGGCTGCCACGAGATCATCCTGGACAGATTCATCCTCAAGGTACTCGAGAGAACGTGGCACGCCAGGTGTCTCAAGTGTGCTGAGTGTGGAGCCCAACTCTCTGACAAGTGCTTCGCCAGGAACGGAATGCTTTTTTGCAAGGAGGATTTTTTCAAGTCAGTATCACCTTTGAGAATTTTTTTTATATCTTAGCTTCATGATTTTCTTGTGATTTACCGATGCTGAATATCTTGTTTTGTTATATTATCCGATATCATTTGCTTTTATTCAATGATGAATATAAATATATACGAGGTGTGGCTATTAAATAACGAGACTAATTTTTATTCGATTTCATACAAATTTACTTATCATTCTTCTGTCAGTTCCTTCAGGACGCGTGCCGTTCTTTCTATTTTACAGCTCCAAAATACCCAAATCTCGTTCTGTTGAATGCAGAGTTTACCTTAAAAACACGTACAGATCGCACGCCGCAAGATCCGCCGGTGATCTAGCATTGGGATATTGTACGATGAAATGTGACTAGAAATCTTGATAGACAATGCGGAATGAGCCGAAATATTGTCTTGATGAAGAACTCATGACTTTTCCTTTCACAATGCTGGTTGTTTTTCTCTTATTCTTTCATGGAATTCACCAAAAGCGTAAATGTAGTAATATAGTAATATAGCCTAACCTTCAGCAATCCAGTGAATGTGCAGTCGAAAAATGAATATCGAAAAAAGTAATGTTCTCCTTACTTTATAGCCCCACGCCGTATGTAAACGAATGGAGCTTAATAGGCTGCATGTCTCCGTTTTAATGAGCAATTACTTTGAATCCAGTTCATAGTTCACAGGCAACTAAAAATGTCTTGTAATTTTTTTTTATTCACCTGACAGAAGTACTGACGACCTGTGAATTTGCTGGCGATGAACTGAATAATATGCCATTGTTATGTGAGAGAGAGTTATACCCAGCGGGATATATTCCTGCCTTTAGTTTACTATTTATAGTTCTTTGAAAAGATCACTCATCCAGCTTCTTTGAAGCCTCATAAAGGTATCATCGGTAATAAAGGTATATTTCGGTTGTACCCTGAATTAGAGAATTCGTATAACTTGTGAAGTGAAATTTTTATTATGAAGGTTTATTTTGTAAATTTGTTAGAAAAATCATTCGTTCCAAATATTTATTATCTTACAAATCCTATGCCTATAGCTCGATCAAGATTAGTTGGTAACCGAGAGTGAACTTTTGAGGCACTGAAATGAAAATCTATAAATAAATTCTGATCTATTGGTCTTGTAATTTATGCATGTACAAATTTATAAATACTTTGTGAGGTATTTAGTAGGGTTAAGTGCTATTGAACATAATAAATAAAGAAATAAACCAGGTACAGACAGTATGCTATTAAAGGCACCAACACGAGGGCTGGATTCTATTTTTAAACCATACTAATTAACATTTAAATCCATAAGTAAACATTGCTGTAATATTAATAGTTATGAACATTATTTTCAAAAACAACCTGATTAGTGTTGAGCTTTGCATTGCCGCTAGGAGGTACGGTACCAAATGCGCCGGCTGTGAGTTGGGCATTCCTCCGACCCAAGTCGTGCGGAGGGCGCAGGACTACGTCTACCATTTGCAATGTTTCTCATGCGTCCTATGTGGGAGGCAGCTCAACACTGGTGACGAATTCTACCTCATGGAAGACAGGAAGCTAGTCTGCAAACCGGACTACGAAGCCGCTAAGAGTAAAGGTAAGAGCAACGAAAACGTTTCTTTCAATTGAAATTGTTATGATAGTTATATGAATCTAACGAAATCCCTGTCTGAAATATTTGATTTAATAATACAGAGGATTAATTGCAGAAGGCGCTTGCATAGAAGGAGAGCAGCCTAACAAGAGGCCTAGAACGACGATAACAGCGAAACAGCTGGAAACTTTAAAAATGGCCTACAATAATTCGCCGAAACCAGCCCGCCACGTGAGGGAGCAGCTCAGCCAGGACACGGGTCTCGACATGAGGGTCGTCCAAGTCTGGTTCCAGAACAGGTGAGTACCTCTACCTCTTGTAGTATAACAAAGTGGTGTTCAAAATTAATGGCTTAACTTTTAAAATTTCAGAATATTAGTGGGGTTTTCTAACTTATTGAATCCGCAAGCTCATGATTAAAATTAACAGGTTTGTGGCTTCATCATTTCGAAGTTTTTGTCTCTCCTCTATGCTTTGTTAGATAGGATATTCTAACAGGGACCTTAATTGCAAAGATTCCTCTTCCAATGTAGAAAAATTCTGCGTAGTTCATAACAATCCTATGTGCTAAGTGATTGTTGAGAAAAATATTAAAAAACTATTGGGGTATAAAAAAAAATATGTCTCACAACTTTCACTTACCACTCTAATTAAATAATTAGATTTCTGCTCAAATAGGACAAGTTAATATTTAATTACTTAAATATGTTATCGGGCCAAAAGTTTTTAAACCGGGATACAATTATAAAGGTTATGAACGCTACATGAAATAATTACTATAAATGAAAAGCAATTTTCAAGAAAACTAAAAAAAAAAAGTGTAAAATAAACATAAAATTACCCCTCTCATAAGTTAATTTAAGGGAAAAGTTGCAGTATACGTATACGTACCTACCTTTAATACGTAATTTCAGTTTTGTAAATTTTTTCGTTTTCATGCTAGATGTGAGTATGACCACAGGCGGATCAACGGAGAGGGGGAGGAGAGCTTTCATGCTGAAGTCTCCTCCTCCCTCAAAAGTGATAAAACATAACTATGTTTTATGGAAAACAAATATATTAAAAAATGATATCTTAGAGTATAATTGTTCATTAAATAGGACTTCAAGAATCACTTAAACCCCATTCCATGTAGGTTAGTTTCTTTAGTTAGGTTCTAGGTTAGTTAGGCTTAGTTTCTTTCTTTCTTTTTTTAAAGTAGTTTTATATACATATATATAAATATATATATATATATATATATATATATATATATATATATATGAAAAAAAAAACTCTCGGGCTGAAAACATGAATTATATTATCAATAACTGATTGATAATATAATTGATGTTTTTGTGTAATATATTTTATACTTTGTTTGCAGGCGAGCGAAGGAAAAACGATTGAAAAAAGACGCCGGGCGAACGCGATGGAGCCAGTACTTTAGGTCTATGAAAGGAGGTGGTGCTAGCTCGCCGAGGGGCGATACCAAAGAGGAGTCGATAAAAGTCGATCTAGATTCGTCCAACTTCAGTCATTCTCACGGTGAGTAACTAATCTAACAATGCACAAGACTAAACTTACGATTCTTAGTTAAAAATGATTTAATATATTGGCGAAAATCGGTTAGGTATCTTTTTATTGAAACAAAATTATTATTTTATTGTATTCAAATATGGTGTGAGAAATCATATAACATTTTTTTCTTCAAATCCTAAACAATTCTATTTTATAATAATAATACTGTGAAAAATGTAATCCATAAATTATTCATAACGTGGCATATCTTAAATTAATTATTAAATAAAAGTAGATAAGCATCAGTACTCAGTCCACCCTCTTTGAATAGACTATTGAGTAGAAATATTTTTCATTTCCTACATCATTCGTGGTGAAGATGCATATTTGGTTAAGGATCGGACCTCCCTGGTATTTTGCAAATGAAACAAGTTTGAAGTGGGCAGTTTTGTTTCTACTTCAACATTGTGCCCAGTGATTTATTTTACTGAATCGAAATTAAGATTGTCAAGAACAGATAGCTGTCCGCGATGCCGCCGACTAACATGCAGACAACTAATTCATTTGGCCTTGTCCCATTGATTTGGTGTAGCAGGATTTACAAAACCAGGCAGTGAAGCAGGCGCAGCCTTACTGTGTTATTTCATTTTACGCATCAGCGAATCCACCATTATAAACTTTAAACAATAGCAACGACGAATATTTATCTTATTGCATCATAGCAATCGAGATTTACTAGGACAGAAAATTGTAATTGTTTAAGTGGATAAAGTCTTCCAAGTAACATCAGATGGTCTAATTGAAACTATGAGACTCGAGGGTCAGGGATCTACAGTTGCTCACGGCATATGGAGCCATTAGAATGATGGCAACAGATAGCATCGCTTCGTATAGCGTAGGCCTCATCACGGCACCCTGCGTGACTCCCAATGTGCCACTTGCTCGTCCTCCGGCATTAACTGATGAGCTGCTAGGTCCATTTCTATATTGCTTATCCAGGTTTTGTCGCACTCCAATTTCTTGTAACAACAATAGATGACTACCCTTCTGGAGATGGGGATTATTTAATATTAAAAAGTAAAATATGACTTATATAAAATTTTCAGAACATGGTAACCTTAAATGTAAGTTTATTCCAATCAGAAACATAAAATATTAGATTGTTCAAGAAATTGTAATTATCTGAATTTATCCATTTTATAGGTTTTTTTTATTTTTTTTAAATTCACCATTAACACCAGTTCGATTCTATGGTGAGCAATTTCCACTGTCCTCTTTTTCTAAATAATATAATTATCATTATAAACTCAGACTTATTGGTTGATGGGAGGGGGGGGGGCGATGAACACTTCAAAAAAGTCTTGGGAGTTTATATTATGTATAAAAATTATGAGTGATAATTAACATAATTATTATAAAACGAACAATATATATAATATAATGAATAATATACAAATAAATTTATGTACATATGTTTTCATATATTATTTTTTTTGGTTTATTATTTTCAATAATGAAACATTGTGATCGACCAAAAAATTCAAAAACTTAACCCCCTCTCAAAATTAGAGGTTTTACGTTTCAGGATACGTAGAATTCGAAAAACAAATTAAAAAATTTTTATCCGTCTTCCGTACTATTCCGTATTTTCTTCGAAACTACTGTCTCGATTTTTTTCAAACTTGGCTTCAAAATTAGAGGTCACCCGAGGGAGATCCTCCTTCACCGACATTTCTATCCGCCTTTTCCTTTCAAGATGGCGGCCGAAAAACCTGCGTTGCTATAGACTGTAGCGCCTAAACAAATGTACCGATTTCAATGAAACTTCGCTAAAGTCTTATTCTCGATGCCCTTTAAACTTATCTAAATTTATAACATACTTCAACGAAAAAAAGCAGGAAAAAAAGTTACGAGGGATGGCAAAATTAGATTCCGAATAAGTCAAAAGTATACACTTTTTTGTCAATATTGTATATGGTTATTTAAAAGTTTACGGAATTTCGTAAAAAAAAAAAAAAAAAAAATCGTTCAAATCGGACATTTGTATTCCAATCCTACTATTGTTACTGAATTGTTCTTACCATTGCGTAAACGACCAAGAATCAGTTTTTATATGCCATATACTTCTTTTTCATTTAAGAATAGAGAAAAAAAGACTACTCATAAATACGAAGGATGATATCTAGAAAAAATAAGTAAAACAGTCTAAACGGATGTTAAATTATTACTAATATTATTAGAACTTTATGAACTTTAGTTCTTAACCAACCAGCTACTGTTCTTATTACATTGAGATATTGCTCTTGTATTCCCTACACATCACTTAACAGCATGCTTTAGTAAATTAAGTTCTTGTATGTTTTGAAAAAAAAGAAATTAACTATTATTGTGAAATTAAGAATTCGCCGGAAAAATAAAATAAATATTCTTCTTCTTCTTTGTCTTCGATCCTCGTCTATTGCAGCGCAATGTTGGTAGGGATAGGATATCGAAAGCCCAATATCGGTATTGTCATCGATGGAAATATCGGCTTATAACTATCGATACCATCAAAATATCTATCTTTGAAAATCCCTACGATCAAGAGTCGATATTATGAACATTTTTGAAAAATCAGTGATTTGAAAACATGAATATGAATATAAATATTGATTCTCTACCACAGGCACGTAAATATGTTATTTTTTTCTTTAAATTATTTAATGGAAATATTAACTCTTCTACTCTTCTTTGTGAAATTAACTCCTGTTTCCTATACATCGTCTTGTTCCTCAACTTTTTTCCGTAAATTTCCATTCAACCAATTACGCCTTTCATTCATCCATAGATCGGATTCAGCGGAATGCTAATATATTTGCATCCTACACAGATTTATTTGACAATTCGTGGCTCAGGTTTGAGAATGTTCTAACTAACAAATTTGAGCAAATTGAGTTTACATTCAGAAATCACTCACAACAAAGTTATCGATTTTCCAAATAGGTTTAATAAGTTTTTAATCTACACGCGCTATTCAACACTAACGTGCACTAAACCCTACATGAAAACAGGCAAGATGAGTACAATTTTTTTATTTATACAGCTTTAAGCATATTAAATATTATGTTATATATACATATAAACCTCTGACAATTAATGTTCAATATGAGAATTTTCTGCACTATATATTTTTGGTTAGGCAAGCTAAAATCTGATTTCCGTGAGGATTCCATTGAATTTATGAAAACATTTTTATTATATTAAATAATATATAATTATAAATTATTTGGCAACAATTAAAAGACATTGATTTTGTATTCAACGGCTCCTATGTTGATGAAGTTAGCATTTTTTAGTTTTTCATATTATTTAATCTTTCTGGATTAAAATAGGAAAAACTCCTGAAGCATATTTGAAATATATTATTTCATAGAAAATTTTTGTATAAGAAAATTTTATAAATTATTTAAATGTCCATTTTACAATAAATGAAACATTAGATATTATAGCTTCAAAATGTCTGTGTTATATCAATTATTAAATAATTTGTGAGAGAGTTGATTTATGATTAAATAAGTTACATCATAATATCTAAGGACTGTATTATCATTATAAAAAAAAGTAAAAAAAAAATAATAAGTGGGCAGAATAAGAATTTTTTTAAAATAAATATTTAGTTAGGTGAACCCACATGTGGATTATATCTTTATTTTATTTTTTTTCTAACGATCATATTCATATACATTTCCTAAACCTTTCTGAAAACGATAGTTTTAATTTTTATTTTTAAATTCAAATATCGTAAGGAAGAAGTAGGTGTCATATGGTAAAATATCGATAGTTCTATATCATTGACTATCTATGGCCATCCCTAATGTGCCTTTCGATAGAGCTTGTTCCATAAATAATGGTCCTGGACCAATTTCTTCCAAGACCTCTCCTGTCGAAGACCTCTAAAATAAATATATTATAAAATGTCATGAAATGAAATATTAGGTATATCGATGGCGCACGAATTATGTCCCTAAAATGAATAATTAAAACAATATTTATCAATTAGTAAACATTTTATCCTAAGATAGCTCTACAAATACTTGCTCCTCCAATCTGATTCACCGCATCTGTAAAGCATGTGACCGAACAAGTGAACGTCATAAATATTTCATTGCTCACTGACTAAACCTAGTGCCGAAATACGAGACCCTAAGTTAAGCGAACAATGAGAGAAATAAAAACTATAAAGCCGGACCTGCTACTTGGGGGAGTGGCCCATAGAGAAGATTTACGACCGGGGGGGTGGGGATTTCAATCGCGCCGATTGCTAAACATTGCTCCCCTGAGCCGTATCATTAGCTCGATCCCAGTCACAACATGTGTGAGCTTACGAGTCACTTCACTCCTAGGGCCAATATGTCACACCAATACTGGCAATGGTCTATTATCAATATAAACAATTCACTCCAGCTTCGGGTTTATATAAGGCCATTAAACAAATGAATAATTAGAATTATCCAACTAACAAAAAAGAAAACATTGGTTAATAAGTTCATTCATTGTATGTGGATCTCAATCTGCCAACCATAGGTGCAAACTTTCCATTCTGGTTGGTGGCGCTATTGACCCCCTCTTCCCAAAACCATTCTCGAGAGTTCATATTATGTATAAAAATTATGGCTGATAATTAACAGATTCATAATTAATCGAATAATAAAACGAACAATATAACCATATATATATATAAAAAAATAAACAAATATAGGAATATATTAGTTGTCTTTTTTTGCGAGTGTGTGTTTCCGCGGAAAATGTGATAAAGACCTTTAATTAAAAATGAAAGAATCCACATAAATGAATCATAAAATCATAGAATATGACGCTACATGTAATTATATGTAGCGACATATTCTTATCAATGAATATAAATTAAATTTCAATAATTGGAATACGGTAAAATACTTGCGTATCTATTTCTAGGTCTTAGCTTAACCATCTACTCGACTTTTCCTACCTTCTTAATTGATTTTAGCTTATATATTTTATTATTTCATTGATATTAATTTAATTTAATTGTTAATGATTTTTATTTTATTTTATGGGACGGAAACGATATTTTTATCGGACCCCCTATCTATTTTTATTGGGAGAGAGGGGGGAGATCGAGTGTAACAGTAAGTGTGTATGATCTAGGTTTTTTTAAAATCCTACTTTCGCTTGCGCTGTTTATATGTTTCTTTTTAAGTTCTATTTGTTTTTAAGAAGAGAAGAGCAAGAAAATATCTTATATGGATGGTGTGTTTCGTTGGTTCATGCACCATCGACTCTAGGGTGTATGGACACCCGTATTTAAACGAATATGTGGACGAGAGCTGAGAGATGCGTAAAGAGTTTCAAAAATAGGTACCCCGAAAGACAAAAGACTTACTGAAAGAAGCGGCTTTATGAGAACAGAATGTTTAGATTAATAAACTGAGGTATCGTATTTATAGAGTAAATATAGGAGCTTAGTATAAATTATAAGAGTGCTAGACTGTTGGGATCTTTTTTGGCTGTAAGTACTTAAAAAATAAAGTCACCATGGAGGAACTACAGTCGGGAAGTAGTATAGAACTAGTTCAGCTTGGTGTACATAGAAAAATAACATGGGTACATTGGGAAATCTTGAAGCTGAATCTTATGAATCAATTCATAAGACTCTTCAGTCTCATCTCCAGCCAAACTGATGGCTAAGGGTACACCAAACAACCGTAAGTGAATTGGGGAAAAATAAGAGTGTTTCCAAGGAGCCGTGTGTTATTTTGAGAAAGGGAATCACGAAACTTTATGAGTTCAGTAGGTCAGTAGTAGGTTTTCATGTGATCTGAGAAATATGGTTATTCCAGGAGATTTTCTGATCGGAGGTGTCTCATAGTTTTCGATTTTCGACTTAAAAAGAGTAAGTCCACTATTGAGGTAAAGAAGGAAATAGTAAGATGGTATAATGAGACCATGAGGTCATAATCTTACTAGACTGGAGCAGGTTGATATTTATTTCATAGCAAATCCCCAGAATTGTCTCATTATTATTATTATTTTTTTTGCGTGTATGAGTTAAATACTCACAAAATTGATATATATTATCATTGAAAAAAAAGGAATACAAAAAAATTGTTAATAAAATTAGTTTGGATAATTTTCAATGACATAAGACAAACTACCTTTTCAGAAAACTAATAGCAAGAGATTTTTCAAGAACCTCAACAATTGGAGGACCAGAAACCAATATAAAAAAGTCCTTCAAACTCAATTTCACTTTTGGATGATTTTTTTCCACTTTGCTCCAAAGAAAGTGTAACCTCTGAGAACCACCCTCTCCCCTGACCAAGGAAAACCCCTAATAGCATAAAAGGCCAGGAAGGGGTGGACAAATAAAAAAAAAAAAAAAAAAAGGTCTTGAGGATTTTCATTTTTAGCAGGATTCTCTTCTCACAAAATCTATGATGCTTCCCAAGATTTCTCTTCACAAAAGAAAAAAGAATGCAAAAGTAGTATGACACAAACTCTTTCGAAGCTATACAAATTTGATTTTATTCTTCAGCCCTGTCATGGTAGAAATTTAGTCACTGAAAGAAGCTTAGTGTCTATTTAACCTCATAAAAAATACATAATTCTTCAGCTTGCTTTTTAGCCTTACCCTTGTGACATAAGTACAGTTCACTTTGTTAAACTACAGATTGTAAATGCAAAATATATAGTTCTGGATTGCATATAACATTTCCACAAATATTACATTATCCACTTATATTCTATTTGCTCTAAATTATCTAAAGCTGAATTTTATTTACTCGATTTTTGAAATGAATAGATTATAAAATTTTATTTTAAGATGCATCTTTGAACATTTTACCCAAAACCAGTCTTTGAAATAACTGATTTAATTTTATAATATCTATGAACATTTTTTTAAAATATAAAATCCAAAGTTGTCTCAGATTACTACTAAATATTTAACTTTTACTTATGTGCCATATATTACATGCCATCATTGTTGTTTAAAATATGTAAACATTCATAAAGATGATATTCATATATGATTCATATTGTTTTTAGATTTAGAAAGCAATGACAGTTACGGAACAGTAGGAGGATTAGAAACCGAAGGAGGTAGTTCCCCTGGTCGATACCAAGGAACACCACCTCATTACCTCACCTCTCCCATCTACAGGCCTGGAGCTCATCCATCTCACGAATCTTACACTAGTCTAGGTAAGACTCCCTAGCTATCATTTATTGATATTCAAAAATTAAAATATTGAATTTTTCTATATAATAAATATTTACCTTCAGGCCAGTCAGTGGGTCCTTCTGACATGTCAGATGGTAGCAGTACTCATGGCTACCCAGATTTCCCTCCAAGTCCAGATTCTTGGTTAGGAGATGGAGGGCATCGATACTAGCAATCATTTCGCCCAAGAAGGGCAGTTGTGTAGACATTATTGTGAAAGGGATTCTGAAAGTATAAGAAATTCATTCTTCCAACTACCCATTATAATCTGATAATGAATAGAAACATAGAACAGTAATCTGGAGAATTTAAAAATGGAAAAATCTGTTTATTTAACATTTTTATGGTTTATATAAAATAAAGAAGTATATGTAAATTGAAAAGTTCTAAACTAAATAACTTTTGTCAAATGTATTAAGTTAATTATGTGAAACGATTAACATATGTAACTACACTAGTCATAAATAAATGTGAAAATGACAATAGCAACAGCAGATTGAAATAATTTATGAATGATGATCAATATATCGTTAGTTTGGAAGAAGAATAGCACAACTCAATAATTACTTTTTAACGGATTGATATGTGTATGTTTATAGTCAAATTTTACACACCACATTAGCAGATAGCTGTGATAACACAAATTTTAATAATTTTTTAATTCTGCTTAATCATAATCAACAAAAGGATTAAGTAATTATCTTCACCTGAAACTTGGATTATGTTTTTTTATATTTTGAATTGTACCAGTCTTCTTCTAAGCCACCAATATGATCAAGCTACTCTAAGTATACTATCATTATCACTATATGGACATTGTTAAAATTGTATTTATCTTTAACTCTGTCCTAAAATATGCTTTGAAATTTTAAACATTGCTACAACTTTAATTTAAATAAGTAGGAATTTATCAAAATTGGCAAAATACCATTACTAAACTGATTAATTATTTAGCATGCAAATTCATGAGTTAATATTTTTGTGAAATGTGCTTAATCTCTTTTCGATCCATCCAACAACAAAAAAAAAAAAAAAAAGGAAATGCAATATAAGATAATTAAAATTCTTATGGAAAGATTAAGGAATTGTTCTATATTTCATAACATTAATTAATCATGGTTAGATTATGAGCCATTCATAATTAATACCATCTCCTTTGCAGTAATCTGTTCTTTTCCTTTTTGTTGGTTATTCTTAAAATAAATAAGCTTACATTACAAACAAGGGGAGTTTACGGACGTGGGGGTCTCCGATTTCAATACAATTTTTTTTGGTGATACAAGGTCAAAAAATATTAGATCCGTGTCTGAGGATTCTTGCCAATGCGCAAAGAACAGAATCCTCGGACTTGGGTCGAATATTGTTTGATCTAGTCTCACCAAAAAAAGTTTCATTGAAATCAGTGATCTCACGTCCCTAACCTTCCCTTGTAAGTATGATATTGAAAGTACCAATAGCAAATAAATAAAGCTTGATTTTTTTAATTGTTATCAATTCTTAAATTTATATATTTTCAATCAATACATTAAAAATAATTAATAATTCATTTTAATTGGACTGTGATAAATGAGATTATGTCAGCCACCATCTACTTCGTTACGGTGATAACAAATATTTTGTCCTTTGTAAAAAATAAATAAAATAACTAAATTCAACTCTATATTAATTTTATTTATTTAACTAAATTTTATTTCACTTCTTAAGTGCCATATCGAGCAGAACCAACCATAATGGTTTTAAGATTCAAGCATTATAGATGTAAATGAAAATTGCTAGGATTAATCACTGGGAGAAAATGAGAATATATTTATAAAATTAATTTATCTTAAATTAATTAATTAATTCTTTATTAAATTAAATTAATTTGGCATTGTTATTAATACCATGATATACTCTAACTATAGCAGAGATTGGTTATTGATTTAATTAATTTTTAAATTATGAATAAAAATATTTTGACTTATTTATATATATATATATATATATATATATTATATGAGTGTGTGTGTGTGTGTGTGTGTATATATATAAATAAATATAAACACTAGAAGATCTCAATAAAATCAGTAGTTCAAGAAAAATTTAATGCTTGTTAACACAATAACATGTTTTGTGTTTATTTTTTTGTAAGTGTAATATTTATACGAATATAAAATAAAAAATATGTACACTAAGCATGTCAATAGCATCATAAAAAAAAAAAAATGTATATATATATATATATATATATATACACAAATGTACAAATCTAGTTAGATAATTAATTATTATAAATATATTCTCATTTCAATAGATGAAGATGATTGATGCACTTTTCATAAAAAGTTGGATATACCACAGAGTAATTATTTTCTATAATTCTAGTTAATAAGATTAGCATTATCACTATAAAATCAAACAAAAGGAAATTATTTAATCAGTCCTTAATTGCTAACTAATGTTCAAAATTTAAGTATACAGTCATTAAAGTAAGAGACTAGATCATTCCAGAATAAAAAGCACAAGTACAGCATTTATTGGTAAACATTTGTATGCCTAATTTTTAATTGATTATCAAGAAGAATAAACCTTCGTAAGGAAAATGTCTGAATGTATCTGTTAGCTGTCATTACAAATTGAAATTAAAACAAAGTTACCAAAAGTTTTATTATTAATATCACTTATGTATATATACAAAATTGTAAATATAAATTTAAATATAGTCCTTAAATGTGCAATTATTCCCTAACTGTGTTTTTCAAATACAACAAAATTCATAAATTATTCAAAACTTTAAACATTAAAAAATGTGTGTAAATGTATTTCTTCAGTTTGTACATTTTACCTCTTAATAGAACATTGGTATGTTAGTATTGTATATAAAATTTAATTTTGTTTTAGTTTTTGTTACCTAAACCATAATGAGGTATTTATAATAAAATATTTTCATAATCATATTTATTTCTATTTATAACACTATGTATATAGATGAAACTAAGTGTTTATATAGATATTTTTAGTTCTAGTCAATTATACAGTCACTTCCTTTAGAGATCTAACAAGTTTTTAATAGCAAAAGCTTGGTATTCAATTGTTTTTGTAATCTTTATTGTTATAAAATAAAATTTGTTTAATAAGTAATGGAGAATTATTCTTTTAGATACTAAATAAAACAAACCAAATATTTTCATTTTATTTATATTTTAATATGAACATAAACAATATCTCTTATTAATTAGTTATGATTCATTTCCAGCTAATAAGTCAAAATAAATTATTTAAGCATATGTTTTTTCATTTGTTAAAATCCAGACTTTGAATAATGGATAATGTTTATATGAATATACATAATACATATGTTATGAATAAACGTTTTCATCATAATTATTCTTTACCTTATACTTTAAACTATTTACGAATTTAAAAAAAACTATAAGTGCAAATTTACAATTCAAAAATTAATGCTCCTAACACTTTTTCGATAGTTGACAAACTGAACAATAGAGGTCAGCACTTTATAACATGACGTATCATTTAGTTTTTTAATATGACATATTGAAGCTCAGTTTTCTTTTTCTTTTTTTCGAAAGTTGTTTTATTTGATTTTTCATCTAATAATTTAATTATTTTCACTTCAAGTGAACAGATCAGAATGGCAAGTGGTCTTGAAATACTTCGAGATAAGAGGGTGGCAAATGGCGGGCTTTCAAATGTCAACTGTCAAAGCACAGAAGATGATCCTCACTGTCTTATGGAAGAATTTTGCTGCCTGTACAGCGAAAAGTTAAAAGCAATTGATGAAGAATACCCAGATTCCTTAGAAGTAATTGTTATAACCTTTTTTGTACAATAAGCTATCGAAAAACTTGATGACCCATATAGTATACTAGTCACAAGGTTAAATTCCTTAAACAGTACATAATTTCATGGGTCAATGAAATGTCTTTTGGTAATAGTATTGCTTTTCATCTGACAAACTGTGGGAAAAAATATTGGATAGATTTTGGTAAGCTGTCACTTATTTGTTCAGGATTGGATACTGTAAATGCATATAACTTTAGTTTACCAACAGAAACAGTTCTTAACATATTATGAACATTAATATTCTTCTTGAATGTGTTTTTTTTTTGTGTGTGTGTTCATTTTTGATTTTGTAAATACAGAATTTATATAATTCAGTCTAATCTATTAAATAATAAACTATGGTTTTATGCATATTTAATTTGAAAAATAAAATTATTGGCTCCTAACTGTGGATGGAATAAACATTTTGTAACAAAATGTTCTCTTCTATCATTTTACAGTTAATGATTAATAAATGAAAAAAGGAATTAATCCCAGTGTCATCAAAAAGTGCTAGAAAATTATTATTTTATGATTGTAATTTTTCGAAAGCTAAACACTTTCTTTGGCTATATATCCCTATTTTCCTGATGCAGAAGTTACAAAAATTGTGTACTTTATTTCATATTAGAGTGCGAGTGACACTAAATAGTATTAGACAGTTAATTGAACTCATTTTTCTGGTATAAACTCTGTTTTAAAATGATAATTGTCCCTAAGAACAGAGGTTTTGAATTTTTGTTTTCTGGATGGTTAAGTATAATGTTTAATCATTATAGTTAAATTTTAAGTGATAATAAACTGACTTTCAAGTCTTAATATTTCTTGTAGAACTCTGAAATAAATCCATTTGGCAAAATTAAATTAAAATAGTTTATGCTATTCCCCACCCAAGGATAAAAAATTAATGTAATTTCTCATTACTGATGTTTTGTCCAAATGACTTATGTCATAATTTCTTTTTCTTTTGGACCAAAAGTCTGATTTTTTCACATTAGTATAAATGGATTGAACAGTTACCCTGGCTGTTTGTTGGAAATTAATTTTTGCTCAGGTAGGGTAGCTTTCCTTATTCATGATACCAATTCTTCCCCTTATACATTTTCATTTATAGAGATCTGTAAGTAAAAATGGTACAACTTATTCATTATTCATGCAAATAAAAATAAAAAATTGCCCACCCATCTCATCTTTTAATTTGAATTCATTTAATCATATTCGTTAACTTTATAGATATTCATGTAGGATCTTCAGCTTTCCAACAGTATACTATGTTTATTGCTATTCTTTAGATCGTTAGATTGTGGGAGAGCTCAAGTTCTAGTAGGACTATAGTTTCAATAATAAATGAATAAATATTACAACTTTTAATTCTAGTTGTTGATTATCTTCCTGGATTTTTTTTCCTTTAGTAAATTATGAATTAAATTCTTTCAGAGCTAAATAATTAAGCTATTTCATTATTGCTAATGATGAGATACTGTTAATTATTTGAAATTAACAAAATTAAAAGTACTTTGGTTTTAGCTATTTTGAAAATTCGGCATTTAAGTTCAGTTAAAGTATATCAATGTGGGTAAGACCTAGCTTATATTAAAGACTGTATAATTTTACATTGATATGTTAAGTTTAATTAGAATTTTCGAAACCATTTTTGAGGAAATTGTGAAAAATGTAAAATTATGATATAACTGGTACTTTTGTTAATTTAATTTTAGCTTAAAAAAATGCTATAACAAATGCTTACTTAAGTACATATTTTAAGTTTTATATAACATTTCATTTTTGAGCTAGGCTATTAACATTCAGGCAATTTTGCGAAACTTGGTTATTTGGGCCAAAAGATGTGTAGTTTTTATTTAACACATGGATTCAAAGTTTTCACTCTCATATTACTTTTCCTATCAATCTTCACCATTGTTTTTCTCTTTTTATTTGCAATTCTAAAAACTGATAACAGTGTTGGCCAAATTTCATTCAGCTAGTTCCATCTCCAGATGTCTCTTATTTTATTTAAAAAAATCTAATTTCAAAATGTTTTAATTAAGTATAACTTCATTATTATATTCACCCAATCAAAAAACTGTTGACCCATGAATTTAAGTGCAAATATCTCATTAACTTTAGCATTTATATTTTTGTTTAAAGAAACTTTACATCTTTGGAACAGTGAAAGATAAAAAAAATTAATCCCAGAAAAATTTGATCCATGAATATTTAGTAGTAAATCATTAGAAATTAATAAAATTTTCTCTATGAATAAAATATTACAATAAGCCTTTTTATCAAAGATTGTATTAAAGATTATATTTATTAGGGTATTATGTACTGAATATTAATTTAATGACTCTTAATTAATTAATAGTCTCCTTTTTTCCATGAGTCCTATTTTACTTAAAGAATCTATTCCTCATGTATCTTTAAATAATTATATACTCTACAGTTCACTAGATTTTTATTACCTTTTGTTTTATTTATTTTTTATTCTATTATTTTTTTAAGCCAAAATGCCAAGCTCTCACAGATCTAGTAAGTGATTTGTCTGAGCAGAACTTTATGCTTTTGAAAACTGTTGAAGAACTAGAAAAAGAAGCTCTATGTAGAGCAGAAGCTTTTAGCAATCTTGCCGAAGCTGCTAAAGATACAATGCAACAAGATGTTAGTATGAGTAATACTTCACCTAAACATTGAGTAAAAACAACTTCATGTTATTATGCCTTTATATAATTAGTTTAATAGTTATTATGATTGTGATAATTATTAGATTTGTACTAGCTAGAGAAGTTTTGTTAATTTTTTTTCCCTAAATGTTTTGTCTGATTTACCTTCTTTTTTTTTTTCACCAATTGTGCCTTTCAGGGATTATAATAACTGCTGAAAGTCTTGGTAACTCAAATTTTATTATCTTAAAGATCGGAGGTTTACATAATAAATACTGCACAGGTTGTTTTGGTCCCTCTATCCTACAAATGCCTTGGTTTCTTTTAGATTCTATTGAGAATTGTGTCATTTTTGCTTTTTATTTATTCCATCTCTATGATAATATTCATTGAAATCTCCTGCACTATATTTCGTATTAATTACTGATCAGTACACAAGTTATCTATCTGGTGCGAGCTGGTTCATGTATGATTTCAATTTATTTTGCGATATTTTGGAGTGCGCTGTTTAGTAATGATGAACAATTGTTTCAAAGAAAAAAAATTGTTTAATCCCAGAAATATGAGATCAGAATACTTAGGCATGGGGGAGAAGAACCAATTAATAATCAGATGGATAGATTGAATCAACAAAAATGGTGTAAAGTTGCTTGCAAATAACTGGAAAGAAATAGTCCAAGATAGGAAGAGATGAAAAAGACTTATTTAGGCAACAAAAGATTTACAAGGTTTGTACGCCAAAAGAAAGGGAAAAAAATCTGTTGGGTGCAACACACAGCTTTCACTTACCGATCTACTTTGAATAGAAATTATTTTCTGGCAATGGTGTGCTATTATAAAAATTTTTGAAGTGCATTTTAAACGGAGCTAAAGCTTAAAGCTTACAGATAACAAGTCATTAAGACCATTATAATTACAAAATGTCTATTTAATATATCAACGACAGGCAATAAAAATTTAGGCACTCCATCTGCTTTTATAAACCAAACAACTTTCTTTTCTTTTATAAACCACAGAATGACTAACTCCAATTTCAACATTTTTGAGTGATGTCATTTTAGTGATATGTTTAGTTGAAAAAGTTATCTATGCAGACAATGAGTATGTTGATTCCAGAGGTGGTGATTGCAGTGTTAAAATACAGAACTGAGAATAAAGGTATAAATTTAGGCACTTATTTCTTAGGAAAGACACTTAATTAAATATCTGTAGAAAAAAGGTTTTTTTAGTCTCAACATTTAAAAAAATATATTTTAAATTTATCCAAATTTTCGCCTCTTCAGGGAAAAAAACTAGAGACCATATTTTTCCTCCTAATTGTCCGATTTTAACAATTTTTTTTTAGGAAATTCTATAAACTTTTAAAAAACCATATACAATACCCCAAAAAATCATATACTTTTTGAGTTATTCGGAATTTAATTTTAACATCCCTCGTAACTTTTTTTCCAGCTTCTTTTTGTTGAAGTATGTTATATTGATAAATTTAAAGGTTATCAAGAAAATGACTTTAGCGAAGTTTCATTGAAATCGGAACATTCGTTTAGGCACTACAGTCTATAGCAACGCAGGTTTTCTGCATTTTTATTTTTTTTCTCTTTTATTAACTTATCAATTTTTTTTAAAAGTTATATGTAGCATATTTTCGTAACTCTGAATAATGCGAAATGGTTAACTTTTTAAATTAAACCATATTAAAGGTACTTTATAGGAAGACATATATGAACATTGGGAATTTAAGCCCTGTAAAGAGACATCAACGGGGATAAGACCTAAATGATATTAAATACCACTTAATTATACAATGATACACCGAGTTTGATCAAAATCGTTAGAGCCGTTTTTGAGAAAATTGTAAAAATATGTTTCAGCATTCATATAAAGTGGCACTTCCGGTTAGCCCATTTTAACGAAAAAATTGCCATCACATCCAATCCATATATAAACCTTAAATACTTTATATCAGTTTCGTACTACTTTTCATTTATGAGCTAGACTGTTAACATAGACACACACACACATACCATTTTGCGACACTTGGTTATTTGAACTCAGGGGACCTCAAAAAATGTATTTCTGTTGAAAACTGAGATTCCAAAATTTTCACTATCGCAATACTTACCCTTATTATATATTACATATATACATAAGTGAAAGTAAATAATGTGGGTTTGGATGTTTTGGATTTTGTGCAAGTAAAGTTTCTTTTATTTCACAATTTCTTTCTGACTTTTCTGGAGATGTGCTAATTTTTTTCACCTGAAGCAGAAGATAATCTTCAAAATGATAGCTCAATCATTGGATTTAATGAAGACATGCCAATAAAAAAAACCTTTGAGAAATAATATATAAAGAGTTACTATTCATTACAATAAAAATTGAAATTTTAGTACAGTGAAAAAAATGGAAAGAAAATTACTAGGGAAAATAAAGAATTAGGCTAAAAGTGATGAAACCAGGAAAGAAGAAATGGATGATAAATAAATAAGTCAGAGGGTGCAGGGAAGGAAAAGAGTAAGTGGAATCACGATGAAATCTTTAAACAGGACTTAAACATCCAACACCAGTTTTTTTAGAGCATCTCTTGGTAGGAAAGCATGCTGATATACTAAAGCAGATCTTGTTTTTTCTACCAGTTTTGTAATTAGTAGACACGTTATTGATATTTTGAGTATTAGATTTAATACTATGAGAGCTAATTAGGTTAATATCATCCAGGCTGACATTGAAGTAATGGGTGATAGCTTCATAATCTAAAATATTTGTCATAGTGGATTAATAGTTGAATAACGTAGATACATTGAAGAGAAGTTGGTAGGGGTGTTCATTCAAAAAGTTACTAAGAAAAAATTAAAAATTATATTTATTTTGTTACTTTTTGACTAATCCCTCTTCCCAACCAACTTCTTTAAATAAAATATTCATTGTTCTCTTTCATTTTTTGGCTTATTTTATTACTTATTCGAATCTTACTTTCACACAACTAAATAATTATAAAATAAAGTCGCACACAGTTCATGCATGAATAATACTAATTAACCACTTTGTTTGTGTTTGGTAGATCATGTAAGGTTTTGTCCCTCTTCATCACTTATGGCTATACTAAATGTTATATGGGTAAAATAAGCCTGTTTATCTCTTTTTATCTTCATAACTCCTTTTTCGCTTGCGACTCTGAAGATTTTCATAAATACTTGTTTATCGAGTATCAAAAATATTTCTTGGACTTGGTGTTTGCCCTAGCTTCTGATCCATAAATTAGTACTGTTCATACCAGAATGTTACAGAGGTTGATTTTGATGGTTTTGGAGGATATAAGTCCTCCACTCTTAAGATCTTTTGCCTAGCTGCAGAAAAGTGTATTGGCAAAATTTATTAAAAAATGCATTTAACCACCTGGGTATTTTCTATGATATATCATCATTCTGAGAGTGTTATAATTACCGTCTATCATTCTCAATATTTCTTGCCTAATTTATTTAGCTGACTAAAATATTATCACTTCTTCATATAACATTCTCTGCTGTTCAAAAGCTTTATAATATAAAGTTTAATTCAACTGTGTTGTCAAATCTTTATCGGCATATTCATTGATGTGTTTCATCAGATTCTGCTGAGAGCCATTCTATTGTTTTGTTTTTCATTGTAAATTTTTTCATAAATATTAACTTTCATTTTTTTTTGTTTTGTTTTTCTTTTTAATGGACTAAAATTAACTGTCATAAAGTCATTTTATATTAATTAATGTCCTACTTTAATATTTTAAATTTGTATATAGATTTAGGAACTTTATTAGGTAGTATCAGACTTGACCCAACTATTAGAACTTATGAGAAGGCTCCGAGAAGACAAGAAGCTCTGTGCATGTGGTCTTACTTTTAAAACTATTAAGTATGAAGATGTTTTTGGAAAACAGCCAATGCTTTCACCAAATGCTGTTGAGTAAGAGCTTATATTTATATTTAGAATGCAATATAATTAACTGTGTAATATTAACATTTTCTGAAGGTTATTTGAATAACATTGTATCTGAATTTAATCGTATTTATTAGATGAAACAATTTAAAATTATATATTTACAGTGTATATACTTTTTTTCTTTTTTCACTATATCAATTTTCAATTTTTTTTTTTAAATTTATTAATTATTTTTTAAATTGAGAAATGACAACACTAAGATTATAATGAGATTACATCTGGCAGATACATCAACCCCAAAAGCAGATGGAACCACTGAACTATTGGTAGTTTAATCAATGCATAAAAGAACATACTGAATTCCATTTATGAATCCATCGAGGAGCTTAGGTATGGCCTCAATAATAAGCCCAGTGATGAGTTTAGGAACTTGTCCATTCCTTTGGTTACTTATCAAAATCTGTTTTGTGTTGCAATTAGTTTTTGTTCAGGTTTTGCTTAAACAAAACCAAGCTGGTCCTCAAAATACCAGTAAGGGCATTTCTTTGGTTGTCTTTTATGAAATTTACTAAATTGGTTTGCACAGTTTTTTTATAAATATAAACATTATCATATTTTTAATAAACATTAACATTGTTTATATCAACTTAATTAAATTAGATAGACAATTTATTATGTATGTTCGTCTTTAGTTTGACTGATTAAATGAAGTAATGGCAATTAACATTCTGATTAGTAGTAGTATTTTATTGATAAGGAGCTACCAACCATTTCATTTAATTAAAGGATTTATAGCTAATAATCACTTTAAATTGTGGTTAGCCATTACCTTAATACAAAAATTTAAATTATAGTGCTGAAATTTGATATTCATTTAATGAGAAAGCTGACAGCTTAAATTTTAATTCTTTGTTATGTATGTTTCCCTAAAAAAGAATTCACCTAATTGACAATGTACCCGGTTGCATTTTGAAAACTGACGATGTGAAAATCATCAATCAAATTAGTCCAGTCAAATGATTGTTGCATGTGGAAAAATTACAACTGTCGGTTTCTCTGCGGTTCCATATATACTTTAGAATGCTGAATTAGTAAACATGGAATTTGATGTTAGTAAACAATGTTTCTTATACTGTTTTGGGTATATCTCTAAAACAGCTAAATGTTTGCACTTTTTTCATTTTTTTCCATAACTCCAAAACTTTGCATTTTTTTTAAAACACTCTTCAGTTCAAACTTAAAGAAGATAAAGCTTATCTTATTTTTGGCAAATTAATTTTTCAACTTTTATTAAGTCTCTAATAGCTTTTCAGATTACATGAAAGTCATATAATTTGTTTATCAATTTTAGTATTGCTATAGAATAGTTAAATTATATTTGCTGTTAAACAAAATGGTATAGTTAAATAGTATTTAACTTGAGAGCACCAACTACGACCGAAGTACGCCTCACCTTCCATGTGCATTTAACAGCTGCTTGTCTTCTCACATTTTAATGTATCTTTGAAATATATAAGAATTTAATGTACTCTCAAATATAATATAATTTTAATTCTTAGAGAAATGCTTATATTATGAATTACGAAGGAGAAACTTTTATCTTCCTAAACTTTGTTCAGAGTCATATTTTTTATAAAATTCATTGTTTTGAAGTTATGGCAAAAAAAGTGTTGACATTGTGGCTGGTTTTGGCATATATCTCAAAACACTATGAGAAAAATTGTTTGGTTTTCAGATTCAGCATCCCCAAAAAACATATAGAACCGCAGAGAAATTGACTGTTGAAATTTTTTCCACATGCTACTACCATTTGACTGAACTTATTTGATGCCTTTGATATCCTTAGATTTCAAAATACAACCGGACACATTATCGGACTTTCTCTGTTTTGTTTATCTCATTTAAAGTATTGAGCCTTCCTTAATATTTACAATCTAAAAACTGATGTTTAATATTGCTTTTATTTATGTACTTTTTAATTTGTTTAACCAATTTTAATCATTGTAATTGACAATTTAATAGGGTTTCCATAAATCTATCTTTAATAGTCTCATGGAACTACTCTTGATCTTTAATTTAAATATTGAGTTTGCCCCTCTTCCCTTTATAAATATAAAATTTTTGGTTTTAGTTATTTTCTTTAGATTTTATTTTTATGAAATTTTAATAAAATTAAAACAAAATTGTTAATTATTGCATATAGTTTTTTTTTAATTAGATTTTTTTTAATAATAACTTTTATAGTGCTTCTGGTAACTAACATGAATCTACTGAAAGACTTATGTTACCATTAACATTGTATGAATGTTAGTATGATATATCATTGTTTATCAAACAATGGTTTCTCCTATAGGTATAATTATATGACATAAAAAATTCAATATATTTTTTAAGATTATTAATACTAATATGATATTTAATTTTTAAATTTATGGAGATTTTTTTAAAAATATTTTTTTGTTTAGGTATTGTCAAGAGTTCTGTTCTTATCAGTAAGTTTCTCTCCAATTTAAGATTACTTATATAAATTAAAGAATAAATTAAACTAGCACCTTTTTTTCACAGGTATGGTGGTGATGGTGCATTTTGTACTAAAACTGACTTACCTAAATTCACTCGATATCAACGCAATCGGTATCGAATGGGTGGAAAATGTTAAATTCTGTTGGTTTGATTTTTTGTGTTTTTTTTTTTAAATTTGTATGTGAACCCCTGAGAAAATATAAGAAATTCAAAATTGGCAACTTTATTATTTCTATTCTTATTGAGAATTAAGTATAACTTATCATTCAACATATAAGCAATAAGAATATAATTGTAGTCATCATTTGGGTAAAACCCTTTTAGAATGTTGTTAAATTTATTGTATTTGCCAAAGTGACTTTATGACAGTTTATCTTCCAAAAGCAAATCCTTATAATAACAACTACAGGTTAGATTACTATAGTAATCTACAGTAATATCTAAAATACAGGTAGTATTTTAAACTTTATTTTAGAGAATGTGCTAAATGATATGTTTAATTTATTTTAATTTCTTTTTAGACTGTAGCAAGAGGAAGAGAAACAAAAAAGAGGTACTAGTATTTATATTTTTCTTTATAATTTTTAATGAATCATTTTGTGCATTTGATTGTTTCCTTCAGATATTACTGTTAGATTTTTTTATTATCAGCATTGTGGTAATCCACACATGACCATTTAAGAGTATTTAAATTTCCAGAAAAATGTCTTGTACTGTTATAATCATCCCTAAATGTTATAATTTATTTAATCAAACGTTCTTAATTTTTTATATATTTTAAAATCTGAATCATGCCACTATTTTTTGTTCTATAGAATTTAAACTTCTTGTGATATCCTCGACAAAATGCTAAAAGTGCTAATTTTTAGTTCAAAATTAAAACATAAGTGCAATTACAGTTTGTAGGTTTACATTGGGTTTTTAGTTTGTGATTTTTCTGATGGGTATTGAATAACTTTAATCTTTAAATCACATTTGTCTAGTGATCTATTAGTAATTATTTCTTCCCCGTGTCTTCTTCATTCACCAAATTGTTGTTGGCTGGTGTTTGCTCATGCCAAAAAATTGTATGTATTTTTAGTGGCTCAAAAAACCTGATTTGAAGATTAAGTCATTTCAGACTCATCAGACAAACCACAAACTAAAAAAATATTCTAATCTATGAACAGAAATTTTAACTATATATTTCTTCGATACAAACGCTGACTATTGAGTATGAAAAATTGTCATTTTTTCAATCCTGCATTCTAGCAATTATAATTGTAGTTAATTAGCATATATTAGTGTGAAAATTAAATCATCCTCGTTGTTTGGGCTGAATCGATAATTATATTAGAGTTTGATTTTCAGATTTGATAGTAAGCATTTGTATCGATGATTTCTTTAATTTTATAAAAAAAAAACAGGACAAGTGCAGATTATTCTTATTTTCAAACGATAATTCTAATAAAATTACAGTGAAAGGATGAAACAGCTTTTATTAATAAATTTATATAGATATATTATCAAACCTGTGCTGGGCACTTACGTATTTATATAACATCACTGGTTGCTGGCCATATTTTGAACAGAATTCTACCTTTTCTATTTCACATTCTCAGCAATATAAAATGATTTCATTTGCCAGAATGTTTCATATATAAGTTAGAAGAAAAAAAATTTATTATGAATTTATTTAAAACAAGACAAAAATGAATTCACAAAAAAAAAATATTCATTGTTTTTACATCTAATTAAATTAATTTTATCAAACCAAATGATATCTGATATTAAGTAGTAAGTTTTAAATAAATCTAAAAAAACAATAATTGAGATTTTTTAAAATAATATTATAAATACTAACAGTGGTGTGGTTGAGGATGGAGTGGTGTTTAAAAGTAGGTTGTTTATAAAATAGCCCTTCTCCATCATTTAAAAAAAAAATAATAATAATAACTTTCCAAAACTGATAGATGAAGGCTATTTTTTATACTATTAGCAATTTGTAACAAATAAAAAATTATTTTCTGTCAAGAGGTACATAGGTGACTAAATAAATGAAATTAAATATTTTATTAATAAATTTTAAGTTGAGGGAATAACTCCAATTTCTACTTATATATTGTTGGAAAGTTTGTTACACCACCAGTTGCAAAGCATAATATGAATGACAGATCAAATTTTCTCTTCTATTTTGACAGATCAAATTTTCTCTTCTATTTATAGTCAACAATTGAAAAATTCTCATATGGACCTGTAGCCTTTTTACAAAAGGGTGAGTTACTTGTAGAATGAATTGTTCCCAAAAAGTTTTTAGAAATTTCTTTTTCTTGATAATAAGTAAAATATGATTATGGTGTTCAACAAGGAGTTAAAGTTTAAGGGCTATTCTTACTTCTGAATGGTTCAATGAGGGTTGCAAGGCAGTAACTGAAAGAAAACATAAGGTTAATAAATTGATAGATTATCCTTGGACTATTCAAACTGTCTCCGATTATATAATATTAAGACAAGAAGTAAAACACC